TAGCGCTTAGCCGTGGATTGTTTTAACCATGGTTTGCTGAACAAATCACAGATGAGCAAACAAGCCATGGGTTGCTTCATCCAAGCTTGATTTGTTTCTCCCTGCCTACCCTTCACTGCCTACCTGATATCCTGAATGTCTCCATAGCACCCTAGTGTAAAGGTAAAGGGACCCCTGACCATTAGGTCCAGTCGTGGCTGACTCTGGGGTTGCGGCGCTCATCTCGCTTTATTGGCCGAGGGAGCCGGCGTACAGCTTCCGGGTCATGTGACCAGCATGACTAAGCCACTTCTGGTGAACCAGAGCAGTGCCGTTTACCTTCCCACCGGAGCGGTACCTATTTATCTACTTGCACTTTGACGTGCTTTCAAACTGCTAGGTTGGCAGGAGCAGGGACCAAGCAACGGGAGCTCACCCCATCGTGGGGATTCGAACCGCCGACCTTCTGATTGGCAAGTCCGCTCCGTTGTTTAATCTACAGCACCACCTGCATCCCTGCACCCTAGTGTAAGGATATGTAAAAGGTAAAAGGTAAAGGACCCCTGGACAGTGAAGTCCAGTCAAAAGTGACTTTGGGATTGCGGCGCTAATCTTGCTTTCAGGCCGAGGGAGCCAGCGTTTGTCCACAGACAGCTTTCCGGGTCATGTGGCCAGCATGACTAAACTGCTTCTGGTGCAACAGAACACTGTGATGGAAACGATAGCGCAGGGAAACAGCATTTACCTTCCTGCTGCAGCGGTGCCTATTTATCTACTTGCACTGGTGTGCTTTTGAACTGTTAGGTTGGCAGGAGCAGGGACAGAACAACTTAGTGGTTTAGACAACAGCGCCAACTGCGTCCCTAGCATATGTAGACATACTAGGAGAGGATATATTTAGTAGATATTATCCTTCCTTCCTCACGTCTGTGAGTTCAGCAGAGTGCATCCCTTTGCAGCTTAAAGGGGAAGCTTTGATAGGCTAGTTTTAGCCTTTTTAATTTAAGTAATCCAGGATGCTTTAAGGCAGACTGGATTCTTCTGTTATTTCCTCCCCCCCCCCCATAAAACAAAAATTGCACAGACAATCTTGTAAAAGGTAAAAAAAAAAAATACATTTACTCACTTAGAATACTTGTTGAAGAGTCACAGATACAGCAGCTTTGTTCAGGCATGCTTAACATGGTAATCCAGTTACAAAGACATACTTTAGTCTAGTTCTGTGGTACCCAACATGGGGCCTTTTAGGCTTCCTCCAGGTGAATAGGAATTTACTTTGTGAGTAATAAGAATTATACGTAACGGGGCTGGGGGAATCAGGATTTTAGAGATGCTTAGGTGGGACATGGCCCAAAAAAGGTTGGGAACCATTGGTCTAGTTTAAAATGGAAATGTTCTCACATTGCTGAGATGAGGTGAAAGTGCAGAGAGCAAAGAGGAAACGCCCTGGCCAGATGTGTAGATTATATGTATGGCTATGCCTTCCCCCTGACAGAGCACAGTGGAAGTGTCTCTCAGAGTCCTCTCTAGGAAACTCACAGGACTCTGTGCTTCATCTCCTATCATGTGTCTATCTAGCATACATGCATTGCTGGTTTGAGTGCATTTTAAATATCCTACGCCTAGTACTGGCATTACTTCACCATGCCACCAGCTCCCTTACTATACAAACAGGGCAGGCAGTTTTCCTCTGAAGTTTTCACCTGGGCATTTTGACTTAGAATTTTAGGTCAAAGCTAGAGAGAGATAATACAGAAGCAACTGCAGCAGCCTGCAAAACTCCATAAAGTATGGATCTGAAGCTTTATTGGAAGTGATTTTTCTTTGTCAACTAGCCGTGGCGACGGTAGCAAGAAACGTCGTCGGATTTCTTCATGTTTATGAGGTTCTTTTCTTTCAGAGTGCTTCAGGCACTAGGCTTTGTGCTCATTGAAGTTCTTCTGCCAAATGGTCTGCATATCTCAACCAGTGAAAATTAGGAAAATAGGAATTAATGATTGAAACATGAAGATAGACATGTAAACTCTCGATTACTGTATTGTCAAATTTTGTACAATTGCATACACATCAAACTATTTTAGTACCTTGTCCCTTACTGAAGAAAAATACAAATGATAAGGCACATGAAAACAATGTTTACTAAAGCAGAGTTTGGAAATAATAGAATCTGGAAGTGATATAATGGAAAAGGGCAAAGGCAAATAAATGTATATACAGAATGTCAGAGTAAAAGCTTTTGTTAGGAAGAAAGGCACACAACCTTAACAAAAAGCTCCATAGTCCATGCATAGGTGAAGCAAATAAATCTGCTACGTTCTTCTCCAACCCCAGCACTTGAAAGATTGAACTAAATCAACACCAGTTGCTAAATTGTTGGTCATAAACAAGAAACACCAACCACCATTCAGTATAAATAAGCTCATCGAAGGCACGGTCCTGCAAGTTCACTTTGATCAAGATCCCAACAGTAGATTGAATTTATCTCTTCAGAAGAAACATAGGGTTAAGACATGAATTTCAAACCCTTGGAGTATTGGGGAGGCCTTCATACTAAACTATGATGCCTCTCTGGTTTCATACCAAAAGTGATTCCATCCCTCCACCCTAAAATTCAATGGTGTTGACCAGCTTTCTGCTTTGGGAAATTGCCCCAAATCAAGCTTCGACAGCAGCAGTCCAAGACGTTTTGCTGCCTGAAGCTCCCCCGTTCAGACAACAATCTCTGCCTTTATCTGTTCCCCTAAATTCTTCTGCCTGAAGCAACCTTCTCCCTGCTGACTGCTGGGGCTTATCCTGTGCTTCTCATTTCTGATGCACGCCAAAACTTCACTGAGCCTCTTTTCAGCTGTGAAGTCATCCCAGACCATTTCAGCACCCAAGATGCATTTGCCATTCAAGCAAAGTGGATCAGTCCCCTTAATCATATTGCATTGTTCTGTTACCTATTGTTTTTGTTATCTGCTCGTTGCATGAATCCGATCCAGAACCAACGGTGCAAAAAAAGTTAGCATTTTGAAAAACCTTCAAAGGTATGGCAGCAGAGATATGAAAAGCATGCTGTGGGAGCCTAGAGGATTATGAAAATACTGGGTGGCATCCAATGAAGTCATCCCGTCAGCACAAGTCTCTGCACCCTGAGCAATAGTACTTTATTTCATTCTTCTTCCTACAAACCGCTCATGCCCCCTCCTCAATCTGATCTGGATTCCTCCCACCAACCATTGGGAAGAAATTTGGGGTGTGTGGATGTGGGAAGGGGAGGAGAAGTTCTGTTGCACAGATGGAAATCCTTGCACTAATTTAATAAATATAACAACAACAACAACAACAACAACAATATATTATTTATACCCCGCCCATATGGCTGGGTTTCTCCAGCCACTCTGGGCAGCTTCCAACAAAATATTAAAAATACAATAAAACACCAAACATTAAAAACTTCCCTAAACAGGGCTGCCTTCAGATGTCTTCCAAAAGTCAGATAGTTGTTTATTTCCTTGACATCTGATGGGAGGGCATTCCACAGGGCAGGCGCCACTACTGAGAAGGCCCTCTGTCTGGTTCCCTGTAACCTCACTTCTTGCAATGAGAGGGAACTGCCAGAAGGCCCTCGGAGCTGGACCTCAGCGTCTGGGCTGAACGATGGGGGACGCTCTTTCAGGTAATGGAATGATTTTGAGGGGTCCAAACCATTGTTCTCTCCCCTGCCATTTTTAGAAACAGCTTCCCCTGTTATGCTACACACCCATTATTTAACCCTGTTAAATCCGAAAAAAAACCAGATCGCTTCTCTTCACATTTTATCCGTGTTTCAGTTCATGATTCAGCTAACTCCCTGGCTCTCTGTCTTCCTCTCAACTGATTCCATGTTAGAATTCTGGCTGGAAAGCTTCCATATATTTTCAAATTTGTGTTTGGCCACAGAATCCACTTTTTCAGTCACAGGCTTTACCTAACTAGTTTAAATCGTGCCATCACACCCACTATTTGTCACCGTCTTGTTCAGAAGGCCGAGAATAGACTAGCTACTCAAATATATACAGAAAGAAATGGCATCACGGCCACAGTAATTCAGAATAAGGAGGGTCCTGTCAGAAAGGTTTTGGCTCTCCCGTCCTCCATTTCTCGCCAAACTGAATGCAAGCAGAGGCTGTGCAGATGGTTGATAAATATCTGCCCGACATGTTTATTGTGTAGATCCATATAGAGGTCTCTTTTTATGGGCATGGCTGCTTGAGAGGGACTTGAGGCTGGCTCTGCTACCTGCAGCTGTTCCGTCACCTCATAAATGTTTACTACAAACAACTTTTTCAGGATTGCAGGTCAACATGCCAGCCTCCCTGGAAGCAGCGCGAAGAAGCTGGGCTTCATTTAAATGAGGAAAATAACTGCTACCATTTAATGATCAGATTCAAAGCAGACAGCCAGAACTGAAGGAGGAGGAAGGCTACGCTGAAGTCAGGGCTGAGAAAGAAAGGTTAAGGTAGCTGGCCTCTTAGTGCTAAAAGCTACACGTAATGAGCTTTTAATAAAATACTAGGCAAATATTTTGTTCTTCATCATTGCGGAAATTCATTCTGTGTGATTCTCTTGTGGGTCACAAATTGGTTAAGTTACATGGAGCAAAGAATGGTGGGGGGGAATGGACAGAAGAGAAGGAGTCCCCCCCAAAAAAGGTATTGGGACTCGTGCTTTTTAATTTCTTCATAAATGATATGGAGTTAGGAGTGAGTACTGCGGAAATGAAGTTTTCTGATGATACTAAATTGCTCACAATCATTAAAACAGATTGTGAAGAGTTCCAAAGTGACCTCTTCAAACTGAGAGAATGGGCAGAAAAATGACGAATGCAATTCAGTATAAACAAATGTAAAGTGATGCATATCGGGCATGGTAGATAGCACAATGGAGATGGCATCCCAGTGGCTGTGAAGAAGGTGAAGTCCATGGAATCATTAGGAAAGGAACTGAAAAAAACAAAACAAAACCGCTAATAGCTCAGGGGTAGCCAGGTGGTACCCTTGGGATGTTGTTGGACTGTTGTTGTTGTTGTTCTTCTTCTGAATAACAACAACAACAACAACAACAACAACAACAACAACAACAACAATGGTAAATATAAAGGACCCCTGGATGGTTAAGTCCAGTCAAAGGTGACTATGGGGTTGTGGTGCTCATCTCGCTTTCCGGCCAAGGGAACCACTGTTTGTCCACAGACACCGTTCTGGGTCATCTGGCTAAATCGCTTCTGGTGCAATGGGACACCGTGATGGAAACCAGAGCGTACAGAAACACCATTTACCTTCCCACCACAGCAGTACCTATTTATCTACCTGCGCTGGCGTGCTTTCAAACTGCTAGGTTGGCAGGAGCTAGGACAGAGCAACGGGAGTCCACTCCATTGCGGGGATTCAAACTATCGACCTTCTGATTGGCCAGCTCAACAGGCTCAGTGGTTTAGACCACCCGCGTCTCATTATTATTTACAGTGCCTTTTTTCTTAAAAAATGTTTAGGGGTACTCTCATTTTTCTACTCATATTGAAATGCTGCCCCTCAATAAGGCCAAATTATTTATATACCACTCTATACCCACACCTATCTGGTCAGTTCCCATCTGCTCCAGCCAGCACAGCTAATACACAGAGTACCATGACACTCATTGGGACGCGGGTGGCACTGTGGGTTAAAACACAGAGCCTACAGCTTGCTGATCAGAAGGGTGGTGGTTCGAATCCCCGCGAGGGGTGAGCTCCCGTTGTTCGGTCCCAGCTCCTGCCAACCTAGCAGTAGGTAGATAAATTGGTACTGCTCTTGCGGGAAGGTAAACGGTGTTTCTGTGCGCTGCTCTGGTTTGCCAGAAGTGGCTTAGTCATGCTGGCCACATGACCTGGAAGCTGTATGCCAGCTCCCTCGGCCAATAAAGCGAGATGAGCCCCGCAACCCCAGAGTCAGCCACGACTGGACCTAATGGTCAGGGGTCCCTTTACCTTTTACCATGACACTCTGGAGAGTGTCATGTTAGCTACTCCTGATGGAGTAGCTATTGGAAAGCACCTGACGTATAGATCCAAGTCTTGTGGAACCCCAGAGGACAATTCCTTTGAGAAATACAGGAATACTGCCCTCTGTCTTCTACCAATAGATAAGAGAAAAGCAGTTCCACCTCCTCACAACACTGTCCAGAGACGATGGCGTACATCTTTCCAACGTGGGAAATGATGTCTGGTTGGCTGATGTCGCTGGGATTAGGGATTGCTTGCAGGTCTGAGGGTACTGGCGGTGAGCGATTGCTCGAGTAGCAGTTAGGCATTGGTAGGGGTATTGTTATGTAGATGAATGGGGGGAGGAAACGCCATCACCTCCCCCGGGCTGCAAAGGGTAGTCCGGTAAAGGATTCTGGGGGGCGTGGCCCTGTCTGAAGCCTATGAAGGTGAGGGCCTAAGGCACGCCCCCAAGCGGTGACCCTGGGGGAGTTCCTAGTTGATGTGCATCAGCAGGACTCCCCCTACTGGTGGTTAACCCTTCCCGGTCTTCAAGCAAACAGGCTGAAGCCGAATAGTCGGTAGGACCAATGCTTAAGCCAATACCACTCATCACCTGTAACCAATAAAGTTGTGGCCATTTTTAGCCCATTAACCTAAATACTTGTGTCATGTGTCATTATTTCCACTGGGGGGAGGCGGGAACTCGCCACACAAATACAGGAATACTGCCCTCTGTATTCTACCAATAGATAAGAGAAAAGCAGTCCCACCTCCTCTCAACACTGTCCAGCAGTTCAGGAGGGTAGCTTAGTCAAGTATCAGAAGACAATGAAAGGCTCAAGAGACTCAGCAGGGACACACTCCCCATTCTATCCTTGGCCTCATTTGTCATCCTTTACAGAGCTGCTTTTCAGGGAAAGAAAAGCATGTACTTTTTATTAGTGTTTCAGACTCAAAGTTTGTTTCCCAAGAGCCTACTGGACTAATAATGTTGCTTTGTTAGATGTCTTTATTCAGACCAATTGATATAGCTTAATTTGCCTTCCATTACGCCTGGGCCAAGCTTGAATGACTAATACAGTTGTGAAGTTAATGATGCTGAATAATATGTAATCATGCATATATATATATTTCATTTATAATGTTTTAGGGATAATAGTTTTTGTGTGGTATAGTTTTTGGCGTCACTTTTTAAAAAACAGAGCTTTTTTTTAAAAAAAAAAAGGAAGGAAGAAAGAAAGACCCATCATATTACCGTAGCTAGCATTTTTCTAAATAATAAAAAAAGCACAAACCTGCCGGCATTCTTCATGTTGAGAAGTCTATCAATCATGTAGATATAAAATAAAGGTTATTGATAAATTATCTACAAGCAAATTAGATTCACAATAAAACTCGCTCTTCTTTGTGGTAATGTTTTACAGGAATAATGATGTCCACTAATGCACAGTGTTCACATTTTGTGGTGAAGTTAATTGTATACCTGTGCAATTGCAGGCTTTTCAGAAGCTGCTGCCTTATCTAAGCTCATTGCCTCAGAAAGACAACGTTTCCAGTAAACGTTGGAGGGTACTTTTGCAAAGAAGTACTTTTCAAACTAAGCTCTTTTGCTGCTGTTCTCTGCAGCATTTCCCCCAGAGCATATTTTTTTCTTCCTTTCTTCTACAGCTTAGTATGTATTTGAGTAGGACAATAACTTCATCTTGGGTAACTGGACACTTTCTTCCCTTTCCAAAACTCTCCCATTAAAGATTTAGAAGTACAAGCAAGCACAGAGAGTCTAGGTAATCTTTTTAACCAAGCCCACAAAATATTCATCTATCTCAGGGGTAGGCAACCTAAGGCCCGTGGGCTACAAGTGGCCCATGGGGGCCAGTTAACAGGCCCACAAGCCGCCCCTGAACCGAGCCGCTTGCTCTGCAAGCCCCTGTGTGCTGTGCTAAACTGGCGCAGCACGGCGCGGGAACTCACTTCTGCGGCGCCAGAAATTGTGTCTGCGCAGACGCAAACGCCAGAAATCTCAAGCACACGTGCAATCCAGTCCACAGAGGGATCTCCACTGGAGTGAACTGGCCCAGGCAAGGTAAACCTTGCTGACCCCTGATCTATCTATTGTGCACTTCATGGGGGTGGGCGAAAGATATTTGGAAGACAGCTGTACCACAATAAGCATCTCAGCCTGCAGTGTTTCTGGATATTCTGCACACCTTACTCTTGCCTGCTAAAATGCCATGAGACGTAGGCTCCATCTCTCCCATACATTTATTATACCACTTTAAAGAACCATAAAGGTAAAGGTACCCCTGACCATTAGGTCCAGTCGCGGACGACTCTAGGGTTGCAGCACTCATCTCACTCTATAGGCCGAGGGAGCCGGTGTTTGTCCGCAGACAGCTTCCGGGTCATGTGGCCAGCATGACTAAGCCGCTTCTGGCGAACCAGAAATGCCGTTTACCTTCCTGCTGGAGCGGTACCTATTTATCTACTTGCACTGGCGTGCTTTCAAACTGCTAGGTGGGCAGGAGCAGGGACCGAACAACAGGGGCTCACCCTGTCGCGGGGAATCGAACCGCCGACCTTCAGATCGGCAAGCCCTAGGCTTTGTGGTTTAACCCACAGCGCCACCCGCGTCCCTTAAGGAACCATACCTTTCCCAAAGAATCCTGGTAACTGTGGTTTGTTAAGAGTGATGAAAGCTAGTCCCCTCACAGAGTTACAATTGTTGGAGAGGTTTAACAATCAGTTCCTTTCCCCAGGGAATTGTAGAGGCCTCTTAACAACTCTTGGATATCAGCTGCACAAAATAAATGCCTTGGAAGAGTGCTGAAAAACAAAGATAATGGCTACAAGACATGATGGCTGTGATCTGTCTCTACAACTTAGAGGGACCAATGTTTCTGAATACCAGCTGCTGGAAACCACAGGACAGGAGGAGGAAGAAGAAGAGTTTGGATTTGATATCCCACTTTATCACTACCTGAAGGAGTCTCAAAGCGGCTAACATTCTCCTTTCCCTTCCTCCCCCACAACAAACACTCTGTGAGGTGAGTGGGGCTGAGAAACTTCAAAGAAGTGTGACTGGCCCAAGGTCACCCAGCAGCTGCATGTGGAGGAGCGGAGACGCAAACCCGGTTCCTCAGATTACGAGACTACTGCTCTTAACCACTACACCACACTGGCACTTGTGAGGAGAGTGCTCTTGTGCTTGAATCCTGCTTACGGGTTTCCCGCAGACATCTGGTTGGCCGCTTTTGAGGACAGGATGCGGGACGAGATGGGCCATTGGCCTGACCCAGCGGATTCTCTTTTTTATTGTTCTTATGACAAGGTTCAAAGGAATATTCACCCATGAAAAAAGGATTAAAACTGATTCTATCCACACTGCCACATCTGTTAAAGGTTATATATGGGCCTAGCTTATATCGAGTCAAACTATTAAACCCTTGATTGTCTACCTTGCCTTTCTTAAGTCTGACACATGGGCCTTTCTTAGACTCTAAGCTCTGAGACATAGGTCTTTCTTAGCCCTACTTCACATGATCCATTACCTGAAGATTTTAGGGCTTGAATCGGTGACATTCTGTTCCCAAGGCTTGTATTCTTTTTCTCAGCCATGGCCTCTCTGAATAACAAAAATTGCCCCTGAAATGCTGTGTTCCAGACAGGAGAAACCAATATTTCTAGCACAACACTTACTGCCCTCATTACTTTATGAAGATAACATGGCCATGTTCCCTGGGGAGGCAATTATCTTATTGGGGGCGACGTTCCCCAGCCTCCTTCTTTATGGGTGGGATGTGGACCAGGCAGAAAAACTTGCATCATCTGGCAAATTATATCTGAGCGGGTAGAAAGACTCATGCAGCCTGTTCGCTCCTAATAGGTGGAGAGGGAGAAACAAAACTCCTGAGAGAGACATCACTGCTTACTTGACTAAGCAAAGTAGGTAATAGTAGGATATTCCTACAAAGAAGGAATATCACAGAGGACCAACAGAATAAGGACAGTGCTTGAATGCACCACGGCCAGTTTGAACATCACTGTCATGGTCTAGGGCTCAGTAACAGAGCACATGACATGGTGGCAGGTCTGGTCCCTGATGCTTGCAGTTAAAAGAATCAAGTAGCAGGTGGCAGAAAAGATTCTTGCTTGGAACACATCTGGCAGGGGTGCCAACTATAGGGGGCTCTGGGTGTCTGAGCACCCACAAAAAATTTGTTGTGGGTACTCAGCACCCACACCACAGGTTCCCTGATGCAACTTTGGGTGCCTTGTGAAGCACCAGGAGTCATGTCTGGGACCTTGCAAGACCTCAGAGATGCTTTCTGAGGTCACACGAGGCCCGGGGCACTCACTGGGCACCCATAACCTGGGGCCCAAGTCGGCTCCCCTGACATCCGGTGAGAGATAGCTGTCAGTAGAGCTTGAGACTCACAATCTCAGGGTTGTGGGTTCAAGCCCCATATTGGACAAAGGATTCCTGCCCTGCAGGGGACTGGACTAGATCCGTGGTTCCCAACCTGTTTGGCCATGCCCCACCTAGCCATCTCTAAAATCCTAATGTCCCACCCATGTGACATATAATTCGCTGGCCCAAATAGGACTAATTTAGCCAGCTAGCCCTGGTGATCATCTAATGCTTATTGGATGGATTTTCCCCCTAAATTGATTTTTGAATTCTGAATTTATTGTTATTCACGTTTTATACTGTATTTTATGCTGCTTTTGTTGCATCAGTTAAGTGTTTTAAATTTGTTGTTACCGCCCTGAGCCTGGTTTTCTGAACCGGGAAGGGTGGGGTATAAATAAAAATTTATTATTATTAAATTTATTATTATTATTCAAAGAGTGAAGTCCTAGTCACATGGAGGAAGCCTAAAAGGCCATTCACTATTAGTAACACATTCTCAAATTGCCCCCTTAAAAATCAAATTGCTCCCCTGTGGGGCATGTGTCCCACGTTGGGAACCACGGGACTAGAAGGTTCTTGTGGTCCCTTCCAACTCTGAAATTCATATATACCGTATTTTCCCATCTATAAGATGCCCCCATGAATAAGACCCCCCCCCTATTTTTAGTGACTCAGTTTTAAGCAGATGGTGGGAGATGGCCCAAAGTTGTTGAGCTTCTCTCCCCACACAGCTGCAGGCAGGAAACACTCCCTAGATCATCCCCCCCCAGCAGCATCAGGGGAAGTTGCGCTCCCACCAACCGGCTGGTTGGCAAATGCCCTGCATCTTCCCCACCCCCATTTCATTATCCATGTATTGGACGACCCCAGTTTTTTGACATGATTTTTGAGTCAAAAAACTTTGTCTAATACAGTGGTACCTTGGGTTTCATACACTTCAGGTTACATACGCTTCAGGTTACATACGCTTCAGGTTACAGACTCCGCTAACCCAGAAATAGTACCTTGGGTTAAGAACTTTGCTTCAGGATGAGAAGAGAAATCGTGCTCCGGCAGTGTGGCAGCAGCAGGAGGCCCCATTAGCTAAAAGTGGTACCTCAGGTTAAGAACAGTTTCAGGTTAAGAACGGACCTCTGGAATGAATTAAGTACTTAACCCAAGGTACCACTGTACACAGAAAAATACGGTGGTTGTTTACAAAAGCATCAGAAACAACACTCAAACCTGCGGGTCTCTCATGGATACAGCTGCCTTCAAAAGTACCAGGATGGGTGAGTACGACATGCCACATCTGAGAGCCACTGTGGTGTAGTGGTTAAGAGTGGTGGACTCGTAATCTGGTGAACCGGGTTCGATTCCCCGCTCCTCCACATGCAGCTGCTGGGTGACCTTGGGCTAGTCGCACTTCTCTGAAATCTCTCAGCCTCACTCACCTCACACAGTGTTTGTTGTGGGGGAGGAAGGGAAAAGGAGATTGTTAGCCGCTTTGAGACTCCTTAGGGTAATGATAAAGCGGGATATCAAATCCAAAATCCAATCCTAACACATCAAACAGAGCATCATCTGCAGTGTAGTCCATATCACTGAGTGCAAACAACCAGAATGCTGTATCCAGTAAATAGGTAAAACTACAACTGACTTACATGCACATGATAGAAACCACATATCTGCCCTTTTAACCGCAGGAGTGGAGTTGCTAAGCATTTCGATTCTGAGAACCGCAGCCTGTCAGAGTTATCAATAACGGCAAGAGAAATGCCAGTTGATCCTACAATGTTAGCTTAGAGAGAGAACTTCTGGTTCCATACTGGAGACATTAACATCACGTAGCGTCAACCTGGAGCGTGGTACAAAGCATCATTTAGTTTTGGCAAATGAAGTCCTCCTGAACATTTCATCCTCATAACTCTGTAATGGCCACCTTGGCAGTATCATCCTTTCATTTTCACCAGACAAAGGCAGAAGCCAAAATGTTCTGCAGCAGAAATTAAATATCTGTTTGGTTAATCATAATCTATTATATCTGTGATTAGCTAAATCCCAAAAGGGAGCAAACTTGTGTGAAGTGCTGTTGAATGCTTTTTTAAACAACAACAACCCAGAAGTATATGTGTTCCTGTATCTATGTATTTTTATATGCAGTATATCTATCATCTATCTATCATCTATCTATTTATCGATCTATATCTATCTATCATCTATCTCTGTCTATATCTATCTATATCTATCTATCATCTATCTCTGTCTATATCTATCTATATCTATCTCTCTATCTCTCTATTTATCTATCATCTATCTATCATCTATCTGAAAATTCAGGAGCTAGTACAGAGTGGCAAAACAGCAGCTGCCCTGAAATTTTAGTAAGTAGGCCTAACAAGGTTGTCTTTATGAATTTTGCTGTGTTTCTGTGGACTTTGAGATAAGGTGTGATGCTGTCCAGAACTTGAGGCGATTGGAATGAGAATCTGAGATTTACTCCTAGTTGTTCTTGCTGGCTCCTGACCAGCTCTGTTCCTGCAGAGACGTCACCAATGCTTACTTGCCCTGAATACCTGGCAAGCCATGCCATTACTTTAATTGCTGCCCATGCCAATATCCAGCCATTCATATCATAGCAGCTGCAACACTGTACAACACACATAAAGCACAGAGAAGGGGTTCGATGAGAATCAGTAGTTGAGAAATAGTGACAGAATGCTGTTTCCAGCTGCCCATAAGCTCTCCATAAACCAGAGTGCAGGAATGGACATCAACAGAAGGAAAGGTAAGTTTCTAAATTCCAGGCAACACCACAGGATTCCGCAGAGATGAGAATTTGCCGAGCAGCAGAGATGCAGTTATCCACTTTAAAAATACTTCTATATTATCTCTCCCTGCCCCCGTTAAAGTCTGTCATGTGTTTTCTATTGTGCTTTGCACCTTCAGCATTCAGCTGTCAATATGGAAGTGTATTATTGCACATTTAAATGCACTGCCCACAATATCATCTTTAACAGCCCATTTTTTAAAAAATGAGCACATGGTGCCTCAAAGCGCAGGGACACGCTTTTATCCCATCTCCAGGCTCTTGAAGAAATGCCATGTGCAGAATTCCTGTGCATTTCTCTGCTTGAGCATTTCCCCCTTAAGTCAGAGAGACTGGCGTTATCCTTCCGAAACACATTTTGTCATCCCCCAGCTCCTCTGGTTCTGCATGCGCTCCTTAGGGCTTTTATTATTTGTGCTAATCGTTTGCTCTTCCATGACACAGTCAAGGATAATTAGCAGATCCATTCCTAAAACTTTGTCCGCCCCCAAGGATAGTTCACCTTTTGGCATTCAGCACTTAAAAGACACCCGGCCATTTTCATAAGCCTGATTCTCTGAACCAAATCTCATAACCAAACCCTCCAGGCTTCTCTTAAAGCTGCCGCAGTGATAAAACCAACTCCGCGATTACAGGTTTTTTTTTTATAAAAAAAGTTTGACTTCAGTAGGATTATTTAAGGCAAGGACTGCCAAATGACTCCTTTGCTCACTGACTAAAGCCATTTCTCTTTTTGCTGTTCCATTATGGAAGAAGTATTGCAGTGCCTTAATATCACTAAACTCTCAAATGGTGCCCAGCAACTGAAGTAGTACACAAGATTTAGTTTTATTCTCGTCATATTTTACAAGGGAAGAGAATTGGGCAGATGGAAATGTACTAATGCCGTCAAGCCTGAAGGTAATTTTTGCTCCGAGTTTTACCCTATCCTTTTGTGTAAGGGGGGGGGGTCATCAGCAATCATAACCAAAAGCAAAACATGTACTGGAGCGACACAACTGCACTTCTGTAGAATAGCCATGGTATAAATCAGGGACTGGGAAATCTCTGGCCCATGGGCCCAATTAGCCGGCTAATGGTTGGTCTTGTAACAGCTGATTGACATGTCTTGTGAAGTCCCTATCAAAACACTCTACAAGGGCTCCACAGAGCTCTCCAAGGTGTGCATTTGCCTGCAGAGTTTGATTTCAAACTCTGCAGGCAAAAAGGGGTCACCTGACATCCTTGTGACGCAAGGTGATTGACAGGTAGGTATCCTGGCCCACCTGTCAGATATGACCTACAAGGAGTGGGGGAGATAACGATTGGGCCCGCTGCCCAGACCCTTCACCCCGGTTTAAATAAAAGAACAGATTGTTCAGGATTCTAATGTGGAAGGATTGTTGGGGGCTTTTATGAATGATTACTTCAATAGATGCAGAATTGTTCCAGGGATAGTCATCATGTGAGTCATGTCATGGAATATATACTGTATATACACACATACACATAAAGGGCATTTTTCAGTAAGAACTCAGCAGAACTCAGTTCTGGCACCTCTCAAGTGGGCGCCATTGCCATTATAAGAGAACAAGGGAGGCGTTCATGGTGAGTTCCGGAACCTCTTTTTCTAGAAAAATAGCACTGTATGTGTGTGTCACTGGTAAGTGATTGTATTTGCTGCATATGCAATCTTTCCCTCCTGCACAAGATGTTCTGTCAATTATCTAGAATAATGTTTGTACTTATCCGGTGCACCAGTGACGTGCTCAGTGTTATGACATGTGGTTGTGAAGGTACACTGATGTCTTCGTCAGGTGGGTGTTGTGTGTTAAATTCACTGCAAGCAAATGCCTTAGGGAGGCACTGAACATGGACAATGTGGGACTGCTGTTGAAAATAGCATCACCGTCACTTCAGTACCATGTGATATTGCCCTGGCCTTGCCAGTGGCAGCTGATCATCATGTTGAACAGAAGTGGAGTTTCTCTAGGAGTTACCTGAAGCAAACAAGGCATGCCAGCAGAAGCTATGCGTCTTCTACAACATTTCATTGTACCCTCAGACAGACTTCAGTTGTTCTCAGCAAGTGGGGAGGAGAGAGAGGAAGTCCTAGTTTATTCTAGGTCCTCTTTTCGTGCTTTTTAAACAGAATATCTGCAGTTAGTAGGCAGTGTTGTGTTCCAGACTGTGCTGCTTAAGATGTTGTGTAAAATTTCTTGTGTGGCATTTGCTAGCACAAGAGTGAGAGTGTCAAGACTAATACTTTCATC